TCCAAACATTTCGTTTTCTCTTCTTTCAGGTTCGTGATCAAAAGCTGGCAATTGTTAGCTGGACCTGTAATCCCAGTTATTTGGGAGGCAGAGACAGAAGGATCCTGAATTTGAGGCCTATCTGTGCAAAATTAAGGAGATCCTATCTCAAAAGTCAAATTAAAAACAAACGAGCAGAGCATAGATCGGGCCTTCAGTTCAATCCCTAATATAAGGGAATACAAAATTTTAAAATTGATAACCCAGCTGAATTCTTTCTCCTCACTCCATCTACTGTTAGAGAATTACAGCCCATCACTTTTCAAAATGAATCTTCTTTCCAAATTTCCTTTCTCAACTGTCCTTCAGAATCCTGCCTTTCTTACAAGTGTGTAAGTTACTGATGCTGAGGCACTGAGTTTTAGCAGCACAATGTTGTATAGATCACTGGTGCATATTTGTTTGTTACCTTCATTTCAGAGTTCCCAGAATTTCCCAATCTTTTCTCATCTGTTCTTACAGCATGAACTGCCCTGCGGGTATAACACAGAAATGCACAGGTACTCTACTGCTAGCAAAATGTTTAAATCACAGTGGATGCTACTGAACTCATAAAGTAGATTAAATGTATTTTCTAATTGTCAATTCTGTCCACTTCTGAGAAATTTACATTTTTGACCCACCATTGGAGTCTCTTTGCAGTCACAAATGCAGAATATCTTTTAATACAACTAATCTTGAAAAGGAAAGCCTCTATTTTGTCTTGAAGCCAATAACACAAAGTTTTTGTATAACATGAATCTCACAAAAGGTTCCGACTTTGCATGGAGTAAAAATTATCAGCTACGTTACAACATAGTCATAGCTAAGGAACAGGCCTTCATTTCTCTCAGTAGAGGCTTGTTGAAATAAACTGGTAGAAAGGAAGAAAATGTGATTCTTCTCTAAGGTATAAGAAGTGATAGTCAGCAATTCATTAAAAAAAAAAAAAAAGTAAATTGAAGAATGAAGGTGCTAAATAAATATTGAGATTTAGATATTTTAGCCCAGCAGGTCATGGCTAAAAAATATGATAAAATATTTACTTTATCATGAAGAATTTTTTTATTTCATTTATTCATATCTGCATATAATGTTTGAGTCATTTCTTCCCCCTTCTCCCCACCTCCTTCCTTTCCCCCCCACCCTCTCCCTCTCCCCCCAATGCCCTTGCTTCCAAGCAGAAACTGTTTTGCCCTTCTCTCTAATTTTGTTGAAGAAAGAGTATAAACATTAATAAGGAGGACCAGGGGTTTTTGCTGGTTGAGGAGAGGATAGCTATATAGGGAGATTCCTAGTATCATGTAGAATTTTAAGACATAAAGACTTTGATTTTTTTATTCACTTTAACATCTGTGACAATAACAAGTTTCATATATTAATGTTTTACAGGTAATTGATAAATGCCTCATTTCTTGATAGTGCATAAAACAGGATTGTCTTATAGATTGCAACATTGTGAATTAGATTTCATAAAATATGGTAATACCTAAAATATTTTAGGATTTATAGTGATAACTAATTTTTCAAAATATTATAAATTACATGGTGGGTCCATTAATATCCAAAATATTTAGCTTAAAATTGTACAATGAAATGTGTCTAATTTATATGATCAAAGGGAATTATTAATAGTCCACATAAAGCACTAGTTCTATATATGTGCTAAACATTGTAGGAAATATCAGCATAAGAGCAGTTCTAAAGAATCTTATATGTATACACATGCCAATATATATATGTATATATATATATATTTCACACACATAATGGTGTGAAATGAAATAGCTTAAATATTTTACACTTTGGTGTTATGAAACATTTATGCTGAAACTCCCACAAAAAGAAAAAGTAAGGTCAGCAAAATGCTATGAAAGACAAATGCCTCACTTACAAGATTATCATTGGAGATTATTTTAGAATAAGAGGATTTACCCAAAAAATGCATACATTCACTGTACTTTAGTGTTTAAATATTGAAATTTAACTGAAAAATATTAATACGTTTTGTGTTTACTTTAGAGAGTTATGCTTCAGAACAATATAACTTACAAATGAGTTTTAAAAGTTCTCATGTTTTTTATGTGCATAGCTATTTTTAGCTATTTTTTAAACTAAAGGCATAATCATGTTCTCAAGTTGTGATGATTTTCTTTCAATTATTTTATTATAATTTCAGATATTTATATATTTAAAATATACTGGCACAAAAGTTCAAATATAAGCCAGTAGTCAAGTCTTGTGACTTTTAAATTGTTTTATTGAATTTTTTGAAAAATTACCATCTATTTCAAATCATACTTAATGTTATATTCAAATGTTTTGTAATAAGATTTTCATAACCATACTTTTTTATAGAGGATATGAAGTTAATAAACAAAAATTATAAAACTGTTACACACCCACTATAACCAGTCAACAACAGCATTACCTGTGACCTCCTTGTGTGTGCCACTGAGTTGAGAATTGTTCTCCCTGTGCCCAGAGATAACAGCTGTCCTGGACTTCTGTTGAAATTTTCCGTTTTCCTTTCCGTGCTAAATCAACATGTTTAATTTTTCCTAATTTGTCCTTTAGACATAGACAATGTTTCTGTGACTTTTTTGCTTTTTATTACCCTTTTGAGATTCATCTCTCTTGATAACTGCAGCCTTATTTCATCTTTTCTTACTGTTCCAGAAGAGCCCATCATACAACTGCCCTACAATTGAATTTTCTGCCTACTACTGATGTTTCAACATTTTTGGCTGTTTTAATATATTTTCAATTGTTAAAATGTGTCACTAAGAATATACCTATGCATCATTCTTGGCATATGTGAGAATTTTAATAGGACATATAGCTAAAAACAGTGTACATTTTCTTGAATTTTGTTAAGTAATGATATGTGTGCATATGAATTTATATTTAAGAGTTTGCATTGTCTCACATGTTTACCAGTATTTAGTATTGTCAGACTTTGTAAATTTTGCTAACCTGAGAGAAAGAGGGACACACACACACAAACACACACACACACATTGTGGTTGAATTAAACAACTGTTAACAACCATAGAGTTTAGTTTAGATGAGTGTAATTTAATAACAATAGCATTACATATACCACATGGATAACTCACAAATTTAACATTTGCTGGAAATCATGAATGATTAAAAGTTCCTGGCTAGTGTTATTTTGCATACTTGTGTCTCAATACATTTCTACCTATTAGTCACTTCACAAGAGTATGCAAATTTGCTGAGGTAAATGTTAATTTTCTATGGTTATGCCAAAATTATGATGGCACTTTTTCATTGCTTCTGATTGATTCATTTGGTTGGGTTAATGTTATGTTTTATTTCTTTGCTGCCAAAGTTTTAATTAAGTAAAATTTTAATGTTTAGAGAATGAAAAAATTACCAGTGCACCTAATATACAATTATAAACACTCAGAAATATTCATATGATGATTCCTGCAATGCTAAGAAAATGATTTTGTAGAAATCTGGAAAAGCATTTTTCCAAATATGTCATCTCTCTCAAGTGATATGACAGTAAGCTTGTGCATTTATTATCTGGTGAATTTTCTTTTATATGTTAGTAGCTATATAAACTGAAGCATTATATTTGATGAGGCCCTATAGATGATAATATTATTTAACCCTAAGCTCTTTTATTTAATTTATGAATTAAAGAAAAGAATGTAGTTTTGTCTGAATTAAACTATATCTGTTCATGGTACTATCTAGTTAATCTTATTTTAGCAATTGATAAGTATATACAAAATATATTCCCAAAACATTCACTGAGGTATTTTCTTATAACAGCAAAATAAGGGAAACAAGAAAACTGTAAATGTAATATGTCATTTATAAATTATCATAATATAATACATGTAAAAGTAATTGTATATTTTATTTAAAATTTGTTTAAAGTTACACTTATGTAACAGTAAATCTATGTTTCTTTGTACGATGTCTGACCTCTCACTATTTTCACATATATTTTAGTCTAAGTCCCCTTTCCTAGTAAGATTCAAAAGAGTTGAGTCATCTTCTTTCTCCTCATCTCTCGATGATTTGGTGCTATGCAAAAATGTTACTACATGAAAGACTGCACTTTCAAATGTAAAATGCTACACTTGAAATTTTTCTAACACTTCCCACTACATTTGTCCCACTCACAAAATTAAAGTCCACAGACTGTATTGATCTATCACCTCACAACCTACATCTCTTTTTTAATTTTAATCTAGGATTTGCAGTCTCTATGTGGGTAAAGAAAGATGTCAGCACAGCTCAGCTAAATGGGAGCTGTCTAAGGCTGAACCCCAAAGTCCATTGGAACAAATAATTGATCAAGCAAGACCAAGCGTATTAGACTTACCACAATCAGAGAGAACATTTCTTTTTTTTTTTTAACAGATTTTACATAAAAAATTTAGTTATAATGCAGGTTGACAGAAATGCAGACACAATTTTTAAAGAATAGTGGGGTTCAAATTTTATTTCTCACAAATGAGTCAAATTAATGTTATCTTTTCACATGGCTAAACTGAAATTTTTTTCCTGAGAAGTAACCTTGGGGGAAAAACAAAAAGAGAAGTAACCTTGGGAAGACTGAGATGAACATTGGGTGACACTTTCCATAGCATTTTTTATTTTAAAATACAAAGTCTCAGGGCTCGGATGCAGCTCAGTGGTGGAGGCCCTGTCTAGCACTCACTCATCAGGCCCTGGGTTTGATCTTAAGCACTGCAAAACAAAGTGACATTAAAGTATTGTTTACTCCTTCCCCTATTTCAGTCTGTTCAAAATACTCTGTGACAACAATAATAAATAACATAAAAAACAGGGGGAGGTCTAGACTTCCCCGTGTCTACCCAGGTACTTCTGGGCTCCAACCTAGAAAATCAGAACCTTCTACAGAGTTTACAGATATAGCTACTGATCTGGACCTCGTGGGGTGGCCTTATGTCCCTCAGTACCTGCCTTAGCTTCACTCAAAAATGGGCAAATCTCTCACTGTCGATTACCCAATCAGGGTCATAGCTTTCCAGACGGGCAAGATATCGTGCAAAGCTTAACTGACTCAGCCTGGCAGTGTGTCTCAGCAGGTTCTCCAGGATGGCCATAGAGATGCGGTTCCCAAAGAAACTGAACATGGTGAGCTGGGAGCAGCTGCTTAGGGCAGGCAGGATGGCATCAAGCTGGGAGTTGGTGACCTCACACTCCTCCAAAAGCAGTCTCTCCAAGGTGCTGGCCACTCTCTCTAGCAGAGCTCAGAGGGGCTCTGGACTCAAGCCTTCCAAAGGGTAGTCTTGTAGGTGCAGGTACTTAAGCTGGCTGGTGCTGGGACACTGGGACAGATACCTTACATCTGACAGCTTTAGTGGGCTTGACCTCAAAGAGAGGCTCTCCAAGGGTGTCTGGCTCCTGAGTACTTAAGCAGTTTTCCATACAAGAAGAAGACATCATACAGATAGAGTTCCTGGAGGTTTTTCAGCTTTCTAACTGAATGGAATATATAGAAGAATACCATTCATTTAAAGAAGGGAAAGTATAATCTTTGGCCCACACACAGCTGAATGAAAAGACACAAAGATTTTGCATCTTGCCCACATAATGAACAACTGTCTTTGTGGTCTTCCAATTCCAGTAGTGCACCATGTACAGCTCCTGGATGTGGACCTGCAGAACATTCGGAATTAAGTAGCTTCCTCTATTTTCCCATACGTGGGGCATATTCATCTGTAGGTTTTCACAGTACAACTTTTCTAAATGTTTTATCTTCTTGACCCACCTCAGGAGGTGGGCTAGGAATTTATCTTTGAGGATATCATCCTTTTCTTGGATACAGATGTCTACAAACACCTTCACGGGCTGCTTCGCTACCATCCCTGCACAAGGATTTGCTGCTCCCTGCTCAGGAATGTCCTCTGCAGAGCAGGCACTGGCCATGGCCATGTAGCCCATGGTCCAGACATCCTGTTGCTCATTCTGTAAATTCAGCACTTGCAGATTGCACCTCCTGTTGTGAACCTTCTGGCGCCACAGCATATTAATCAAATCTAGGGCAACCTCTAAGTCCTTCAGGTCCATGTCTTCATGAGTGCTCCCAGAGGGAGGCAGGGCAAGGCCCAGACCCTGCACCATGGCATTCAGGATCTCTGTGCTTCTGTAGGCAAAGGCCTTCTTGAAGAGCTGAAGGAAGGAGTCCACTGGCAAGCTGTCTATAGAAGAAACAGCCACTGCTTGGTTCCTTACTAGGAACTGCATTGTCAGCTCCTGGAGTGTGGTTGGGGCCTTGGTGCTCATCCTGATGGGTCTACAGGGAAAAGAATCCAGATGTGGACATGGTTCTCAGGGCTCTCTGAATCCCAGAAGGTACAGGCAGTGACTCCAGGCTCTAGGAATGTTCTTCAAGAACATTTCTTAACTTAATCTTAGCAGTATGTGAAAGGGGTAAAGTCAGGGGAATATACTTTAAAGGTTTTGGGAACTGGGATGGATTATTTTAAGGTGGATTTTGCAAAGCAGAAAAATGATTGGGTTAGGAAGTTTACAGCATAATAGTTTTAGCTCAGTGGATAAGGTAAGCGTCTTGAAGCAAGTCTTGAAGATCAAGTTATTAGTCTTAAAAGCTAGGTGATTTTACTTCATTTTCTTGCCTTCTAAGAACAGAAACTTTTAGTCCAAATTACTAAGCTGTTTTTGCCTGATCACCCTCCGTCATACCAGTATTTAGTACAGGGAGAGAGAAATATGTTGCTATCAGTTTTAAAGGCAAACAGAATCAAGAAAGCAGCACATAGCTTACTTCATAAACCAAAAGAATCAGTGGGCAATCCAGTTTTGAATTTGTTTAGGACCTAAGCATCTGAATTATAGGGCTGATAGTGGAGAGGTAAAAAGACTATTTTATGCTCTTAGATACTCTTTATTTCATATTATAAAGTACAAATTCCAGGAGTTACAACAAATCTCTCTCTCTTTCTCAATCTCTATCTCTCTGCTTCTCTCTGACATATTTGCCTCTCACTCTCATATACATTTATGTACATATATGTATATTCATAAATCTATCTCAGAGCTATGACTGATTGTTGGCTCTGTAATTAGGTTGCTGCTTTTTGTCGTGTAGAGAGTTTTTGTTTTTATGACTAGTCACGGATGTTTTATGAAAATTTAGTAAAGTCTGCTTATTTACATCATTTTGAAAAAATTGTTTATGTAATACTCTAAGATTAGAATCATAGTTTATATAAATAGATATGATATAATATGATGGTTTGATGGTATATAGATCATTAACAACCCAAAGACCCAGCATATATAGATACAAAGTGTTTTCTAAATCATCTGCTGTGAACAAGAGATATTGCATTAACCAGAGGCTTTCAAATGCAAAGTTCTGAAGTGACAAAGGAGGGTGTACTTAGTTATTAGTTCCTGGTAAGAATAGGTGTGTTGAGAAAATTAACTATGTGATACACAATCATCACACACAAAGTGATCTGACCAAGAGGAGGCAAAGGGGAAAGGAAGCCAAAACATCACTTCCTTTTTACTCTCAATCTTCTGCTTCATATGCTCAGTCAGTTAGCTGAAGCAAGCCACAACTCCTGTGCTGCAGAAGGTATAGAGAAGAGTCAGCCAAGATTTTGGACAGGCAAATGAACAATGTGCAGGGCAACCCTCTTCTATGGGCTATATGTGGGTCTGATGCTTGCATGATGGCAGACCAGAAGAAAAGATGTCATAAATACTCTGATAGCACAGTGAGCAGAAAAACAAGGACTTTAATGACAATGGTGAGTTGCAGGACCAAATTTAGAAACATTTACCTTCAAACTGTCTGGGTGAAAAATAATAAATGTCTACTATGGTATGGATGATTTAACATAACTTAGCATTGTACTATAATTGGTGTGCAGAACAAATTTTCTTAATTTCTGAATATGACTTTCCGTAAGACAGAAAACGGTAAATCACACTCTCAAAGTTATTATGTTACTTAAATGTACCACCTTATTGAAAATATTTTGAAGCAGTAAATAACTGTACTAATATACAAATTGAAACAATCTCACTAATTTATGTTTTCATATTTTATATCTTTCTGTGTCTATGTTCCTTCTATCAACAGATTCCTCAGACAAATGTCCTCTCTCTCCATTTCTACTGGCATTTTATTCGTAACCTTTTATTGTTGTTTTTCCAGTGTCCTTTTACTCTTTTCAGTTAACATACGCTCTTGAAGCTGAGTATTATGATTTTACAGGCTTATATCCCCACAGACTTTTGAATCAAAAAGTGATGCATATAATGGATGTTTGATAAGTTTTGCTGAGTAAACATGACAACATGAAAGTATTTAATCCTTTGAGATCCAGCATATATTATTGTATTATATGCACTAAAATATAACACAATGCTTATCTCTGACATTAACTAAAAGTCCACTATCAATAAAAAGTAATATGTCTTTCTATAGCTTAAATTAGGAAGGACACTTTCACTTGTTATTTTTACTGAATAAAGCAAAGCCACCAGAAATGTCATTTCTGAATTCACTTCAGTTGGTTCAGATTTTTGGAAGAGCTGAAAAGTTTTTAATAAAAAGAAACGTACCAGGGATCAATAAAGTTTCATTTCCACTTGAAGCTTTCTTCTACATTTTTTTTCTTCCCACCTATCTATACAGCAGTCTATGGTCCACAGGACACTGAGAGCATAAGCTTTCCAAAAGAATTCTGAAAAACACATTTGGCAGCACAGCTTTCCTTCTTGTTCTTACAATTGTCATTGCTTAGAATGTATCTTTTACTGCAGAATTCTTGGGGTATTAATAATGTAAATCCAATTGAATACATCAAATATTTGAACTGTACTTACTGTAAAAAATGGACACAAAACCAGACACTTGGTGTGCCTGACCTTTAAAATATGTTATCATCTCTTAGCAGAAAGAAGAAAATCAAAGAGATGGTTTAAATAGCTCTCAACTTTTGACACAATTCCTGCAAAGGAAAGTAACATGTGTCTAAAACCAAAAATATTTATACATATATAAATGTGTGTGTATAAATACATATGTAAATATATATTTTAATATATATGAATATACATGACTATATATAGTCAAATATATACAGCCAAAATATATACATTCATTGCATTTCTTACTCCCTGTAGTCAAAACTGAGAATAGACATCAGAATTCACTTATATATAAGCCTATGAATCAGGATAACTTACATCAATATTTATCTTATTATATGTAACATAAATGAGTCAGTACTTGGGGTATGTGAATAAGGTTTTTTAAACTATAAGTGTTGGGTTATGTACTTATTATATATCTTTGAAATTGTTATTTTATTTACTTTGGTAATAATGATCTAGTATAGGTAAAATGCTGCCAATTTACAAAATCAAAACCCAGGATTTTGAAAAAAAAAAACTACATGACTTCATTTCTAGGGCTTTTGCAGAGCTTCACAAAATATTCAAGCATCGTGGTTTTGTTTTCAGAAAACAATGTCTTTCTTCTTTTAGTCAATTATTGTGTAGCTCTAAATAAACCATTACGACTGTGTGCTATTGTATCGTTTTAAAAATATGCCATTTACACATTCCTTTTTTTCTAGAGTATTCACTCATTCATTTATGAATCCATGCAACCAATCAACCTTTTTTGACCATATAATACGCACCAGGTTTAGCTCTACCCCTTAAGAATTAGAAATATAAGGAGTTAAAATCTGCCTTATGAGGCTTCTATGTACTAAAAGATACACAATTTAAAAGCCTAATTACAATGCAGAGCAATAAATGCTATAATAGTTGGTGTAGTTGGCTTTAATTAGGAGAGGGCATTTAGCTCAGACCTAGTATTTTATCTAGAAAAGCTTCCCTGAGGAAGAAGCACTTGAACAGAATATTTGTGGCATAAACTCCTCAGGCTAGTATCCAGTCCATAAATTCATTGTTTGTAGCACTCAGTAAAAATTTTCTTTTCAGTCTTAATTTGCTGGCTCAATTAAAATAAGCCCTTGTATCTTTAAAAAGCCCACTTTTGATGTTGAAAGATGGACCGTGCCTTACTGCCTTTCCCCATCCTCTGATTCAGAGATAGGGAAATCAACAAGGAAGAAAAAACTCAGACATATGTGTCCTTCTGGCTAATAATTAGTGAATGAAACAGGGACTTTTTTATGCCAGGCCTGAAAGTGAGCCATTGACGAACAGGGGTCTCTTAGATCCTCTGAAGTGTACATTCTAAGTGATCCCATCATTCAGTGACTTAAGCTTTATCCTTACTAGCTAGTTTCTTATAATCAGAGATTTGTCAGTTCCTCATACTTATGAGATTAAAGATAATTCCAGACAGACTATCTATACTGTTTTTCTTTCCCTAAACTGGCTTGACATGAAATTGTCCAATTCTTTAGCTTCCTTCCTTTCTCAGTGGTTTAACATGACTTCTAGAGATTGAGACATCCATTGAGTGCTACAAAAAGAGAGAAAGGAGGTTACTGTGTATTATAGGAAAGAGGAAGGAGGATGAAGGACACACGAAAAATAAATCTTTCTTGCTTAGTTGATTCCCTTTAAATAGTCACTCTATATATCTGACACGATGCTCTCCTGCTCATATCTTACAGACCCATCTCTCCCTTCAAAGTAATAGGAGTACGTATGGTCCTTTCTGCCACATAGTTTGAACTGAAGATACATTTGGGAGGAAGAGTCAGCAAAATTGGCTAGTAATAGGCATATTAAAATGAAAGGAAGCAAGGAACAAGGATGATCCCTAGATTTTGCACTGAAAAATGGGTAGCTATAGATAACACTAATTGAAAACAAAAATAGAACATTTTTTACGTAGATAGAAAGCAAAGTTTTTTTGTTTTACTTTGCAGTTCTTAAAAGGTATTTAGTTATGTGAAGTTGATACAAATTTAGGAGTGATGGTAAATTTAGGATAATAGACTTTGAATCATTCCCATGATGATGGCATTGGAAATCATGGAACCAGACAAGGTTATGAGTTCATGATAGAACCAATGTTTTAGAGGAAGTTTTTCATGGCATTTCTGCAGTTTTTGTTTGAAACTATCCTTAAATATTTATGTAGCAAAGTACCTTAGAATATAAGGGTATGTCTGTCCAGAGCAGAAGTTAGATTTGTTTCTTGACTGGGTTATTAAAGAGAATAAATGTTTTTAGTACAAAGATTAGGCAGGTTTGTTAGTATCCCTTTAAAGGAGGTTTCCTGAACAGATAATGGATTGGTGCCATAGCATTCATGT